TTTTTTAACGTTTAATGATTATTTAATATTCAATGTTTATTTAATGTTCAATGTTTATTTAATGTTTAATGTGCAAGCAATACCTTTCTTTCTAAATTTTGGTACCATAATTTTGAACGCAGCTGTATGTATGTTTTTATGGTTTTCTGAATTTTTAGTTCGTAAAACATGAATCAGTTTGCTGCTAACTTTTTAATGTTCAGTAATTAGTTTGTGAAAAAGTAGTTAACAAAAAATCCCACTCTGTTCAATATTTGTTTTATGTATGTACATATGTACGCTGGTGGTAGAACTAATAGAAACGCGTTATTTTGACAAATTTTTGGCTACATTTCCTTTGTGTTTATTTAATGTTTAGTGTACAAAGTTTGAAATGTGGATTTGTATAGCGGTTGTCATACAACTAGCTAGACTTTTATAATAGAATCTAGTGGCGCAATTTTGTATTTCACCCTTATGACGGTTTTGTAATTTGTTTACATAAACTGTTAAAACATATGGAGCAAAGTTGCCAATTACTTCGAAATGTACATGTCAAAAAACTAAATTCGGATGTTGTCAGCGCTTTTCTGTATACTGAGATTAGTCGCTATACATAATACAAAGTAAGATACTGGTAGCCATGGCTACTAGACCAGCAACTGGACACCACTCGCCATGTATATTGGGGCCATAAATAAGCAAAAGAAATGGACCGAAATAGATCGTTTCTATTATTTCTATCGTAAGTGTATGTGTTTTATGAAAAGCATTTGAATTTTTACTTCGTAAGACATTAATTATTTAACTTCTAATATTTTAATGATTAATAATTAGGTCATAAGATTTTATGATAATAAAAGAAAAATAATAATAAGTATTAAATGTGTCATTAATGATAGATTTCTAATCATGCGTGAGAGATCAGACTTGACGAATTTTTACATGAACTGTGAGTAATCAGCAATGATATGAAAACATGTCAGACTTGATGTGTCATGATTGTTCGGGTATTACATCAAATTTGATTGCACATTGCTGACTTATATTTCAATCAAGGCTGATCACTCTTCTTGCAGGGTATGTTAGTGTTTGGAAAAGACTCCGAGCGCCGCCAGTATTTTTATTAGAAGCTGTTATTGCAGAAATACACTCGGAGGTTTGCCATTGCCTGCAGAGGAGCGACCGCTATTAGAAGAAACATTTTTATGTTTTGTTTTTTGATGTTGGTCGGAAACTAGGCTCCAACCCAGGCCATATGGAATGGTAGCGCGCACTGCTAACCACTATACCACATCGGCCACCTTCAACTTGTAAATGATTTAATTAAAGCTTGAAACTTACCCTACAATAGCCATACATAAGTGCAAGTTCAAAAAAAGTCAACGTGATCCAACAATTTGCAATTCGATCCTAATCGCTGGGACTAAAAGGGTTAACCGTAATTTTATTCAAAACTATTTTGATCCCATATGAAAATTTCACTGTCGGTCATAAAAATAAACCAAACACTTATAACTAAAACGCAAGTTTGAAGAAAATACTAGTTCACATTAAGATTTTCCATTTTCATCCCACTGTGCGTTGCTCTGCTGGGCGAATCTTAACTCAATGTCACCATTGAACTGAAGTGTCCACATAAAATGGACACTAGTGGAACAGCAGCAAGAACGAATATCGCTAAAGTGCCCAGCAGTCAACAGCCAACAGCCGACCATCGAGTTTTAAGTCGGCAAAATATATTCAAAACAGATACATATATTGACAGTGTCCCTTAAATCTTACGAAAGCAGAGTAGAAAAGGAAAAGCAAAAACGCTAGGCGCAAATATGCTACCACACCACGGCGGCACTGTCGCATCGCCTCCTGTCATGCTCACCGCTGCTGCGACAATATTACCCCACAACCTTGCGCAAGAGGATAGGAGGACTGCTTTGCTGGAGTACACTGCAGACAGTGTCGGTTTATGCGATGTCTTCTGAGCTGTTGCGGCGGGAGCAGCAGTGCGGCAGTTGTTGTGTGGATATGAATGTGGATGTGGCTCATGAATCTCATTCTTCGGTAGACATAAATGTAAATTGGGCGCGTGCAGCTATTGTATTATCAAAGAAGGCCGCGTCGCTGCCCCACTGCATGCCGACGGCCGACGGACAAACAGGCAAAGAGACTAGCAGCTAGCAGCCGGCAGCCAGACAACTAACAGCCAATACGCGGACGGACGGTCACACACAAAGTTGGAAGCATCGAGCGTCGAGCAGTGAACAGCGAACAGCGAGCTACGATATCATAAGCGGCTGAATAGCCAAGTCTTTTAGAAGATGCGACATATCGACACATTTCGAAGTAATTCGCCTTCCAAGAATTTGGCAAATAAAATATATTCCACTCCAGTTTGGCAGTTCGGCAGCTCGACAACCAGCAGTAGCCACTAGAACTTGGAACGGTGGAGCAACAACTGCAATTGCGAATGCAGCTCCGTTTAAATTTCACTCACCTTTGCTCTTACTCTTTCAAACGGCGAACCAGATGTCGGCGAGGAAAATGTTCTGCTCCATTTATCACTGTTTGAGTTTCCCTTTCATAAAAAATAAGTACACAACAACAAGACCAACCTAAATTTATTTTTATCAATATGTATGTACATACGAGTTCAATGTATATGCATACATACATATACATGCATATGTGTTTGTACGGTGTAGGTTTATTTACTTTTCTGCATAGCAGAGTACCGAAAGAAATGCATAAGCTTAGCCATCAATTAGCCTAATTGAATTT